TGGCACTGAGAAGAATGTGTATTCTGTTGATTTGGGGTGAAGAATTCTGAGTTTGAGTACTGAATATCATTGTTAATTTTCTGTCCTGTTGATCTGTCTAATATTGACAGTGGGGTGTTAAAGTCTCCCACTATTATCGTGTGGGAGTCTGAGTCTCTTTGTAGGTCTCTAAGAACTTGTCTTAGGAATCTGGGTACTCTTGTGTTGGGTGCATATATATTTAGGATAGTTCGCTCTTCTTGTTATATTGATCCCTTTACCATTATGTAATGCCCTTCTTTGTCTTTTTGATCTTTGTTTGTTTAAAGTCTGTTTTATCAGAGACTAGGATTACAACCTCTGCTTTTTTTTTACTTTCCATTTGCTTGGCCAAATTTCCTCCATCCCTTTATTTTGAGCCTGTGTGTGGTTTTGCATGTGAGATGGGTCTCCTGAATACAGCACACTGATGGGTCTTGACTCTTTACCCAATTTGCCAGTCTGTGTCTTTTAATTGTGGCATTTAGCCTGTTTACATTTAAGGTTAATATTGTTATGTGTGAATTTGGTCCTGTATCATGATGCTAGCTGGTTATTTTGCACACTCGTTGGTGCAGTTTCTTCACAGTATCATTGGTTTTTATACTTTGGTGTGTTTTTGCACGGCCTGGTACTTGTTTTTCCTCTCTATATTTACTGCTTCCTTCAGGAGCTCTTACAAGGCAGGCCTGGTGGTGATTAAATCCCTTAGCATTTGTTTGTTTGTCAATGTTTTTATTTTTCCTTTGCTTATGAAGCATAGTTTGCTTGAATATTAAATTCTGGGTTGAAAATTCTTTTCTTTAAGAATGTTGGATATTGGCCCCAACTCTTTTCTGGCTTGTGGGGTTTCTGCCAAGAGATCTGCTGTTAGTCTGATGGGCTTTCTTTTGTAGGTGACCTGACTTTTCTTCATTTTTTTTCTTCATTTCGATCTTGGAGAATATGATGATTATGTTTTTTTGGGTTGATCTCATGGAGTATCTTCATGATGTTCTCTGTATTTCCTGAATTTAAATGTTGGGCTGTCTTGCTAGGTTGGGGAAGTTCTCCTAGATAATATCCTGAAGTGTGTTTTCCAACTTGATTCCATTCTCTCCATCACTTTCAGGTACACCAATTAATTGTATGCTCAGTCTATTAACATAGTCCTATATTTCTTGGAGGTTTTGTTTATTCCTTTTTGTTATTTTTTCTCTAATCTTGTCTGCAAGCCTTATTTTGGCAAGGTCATCTTCAAACTCTGATATGCTTTCTTCCACTTGATCAATTGGGCTATTGATACTTGTGTATACTTCACAAAGTTCTCATGCTGTGTTTTTCAGTTCCATCAGGTCATTTATGCTCCTCTCTAAACTGATTATTCTACTTAGCATGTCCTGTAACCTTTTATCAAGGTTCTTAGCTTCATTGCATTGGGTTAGAACATGCCCCTTTAACTCGCTGGAGTTTGTTATTACCCACCTTCTGAAGTCTCCTTCTGTCAATTTGTCCATCTCATTTTCTGCCATTTCTGCGCCCTTGCTGGAGAGGCATTGCAATCATTGGGAGGAGAAGAAACATTCTGGCTTTTGGAATTTTCAGCGTTTTTACACTGATTTTTCCTCATCTTCATGGACTTATCTACCTTTGATATTTGAGGCTGATGATCTTGGATGGGCTTTTTGTGGAGGAGTCTTTTTTGTTGATAGTATCATTGTTGTTGCTTTCTGTTTGTTAGTTTTTCTTCTAACAGTTAGGTCCCTGTTCTGCAGGTCTGCTGCAGTTTGCTGGAGGTCCACTCCAGACCCTGTTCACCTGGGTATCACCAGTGGAGACTGTGGAACTACAAAGATTGCTGCTTTCTCCTTCCTCTGGAGGTTTCATCCCAGAGAGGCAGCGACCTGATGCCAGTCAGAGGTCTTCTGCATGAGATGTCTGTCAACCCCTGTTGGGAGATCTCTCCAAGTCAGTAGGCATGGGGGTCAGGGACCCACTTGAGGAGACAGTCCGTCCCTTAGCACAACTGGTGCACTGTGCTGGGAGAATCCCCTTTCTCAGGATCTGCCATTCTCTTCCGAGCCAACAGGCAGGAAAGATGAAGTCGGCTGAACCTGCAACCACAGCCATCCCTCACCCAGGTGCTCTGTCCCAGGGAGATGAGAGTTTTGTCTGTAAGCCCTTGACTGGATCTCCTGTATTTCCTGTAGAGATGCCCTGTCCAGTGATGAGGAATCTAAAGAAGCAGTCTGGCCACAGCCACTTTGCTATATTGTGGTGAATTCGATCCAGTCCAAACCTCCCGGTCTCCTTAGCACTGTCAGGGAGAAACTGCCTACTAAAGCCACAGTAATGGTGGCTGCCCCTCCCCCAACCAAACTTGATCATCCCAGGCCAGCTCCAGACTGCTGTGCTGGCAGTAAGAATTTCAGACCGGTGGTCTTAGCTTTCTGGGCTCCATGGGAGGGGGACCTGCTGAGTGAGACTTCTTGGCTTCCTGGCTTCAGCCCCCTTTCCAGGGGAGTGGACGGTTGTCCTCTCTTACTGGAGTTCCATGTGCCACTGTTTTTCACTCCTGTAGCTCAGTGCCTACCCAAACAGCTGCCCAGTTTTGTGCTTGAAATCCAGGGCCCTAGTGGTGTAGGTTCACAAGGGAATCCCCTGATCTCTGGATTGCAAAAATCTGGGGAAAAGCATAGTACCCTGGTTAGGTAACACAGTCCCTCACCACTACTCTTGACTGGGGGAGGGAGGTCCCCTGCCTCTGTCCACCTCGTGGGTGAAATGATGCCCCACTCTGCTTCTGCTCACTCTCAGTGGGTCGCACCCACTGCCTAACCAGTCCCAGTGAGATGAACTGCGTACCTCAGTTGGAAATGCAATCACCTGCCTTCTGTGATGGCCTTGATGGGAGCTGCAGACCAGAGCTGTTTCTATTTGGCCATCTTGGCCCCTCCCCTCATTTTAACATTTTGTATAGTTCTAGCTGAGTAGTGGCAAATTCTCTCAGCATTTGTTTGTCTGAAATAGACTATCTTTTCTACATTTATGAAGCTTAGCTTTGCTGGATACAAAATCCTTGGCTGACAATTATTTTGTTTTATGAGGCTGAAGATAGGACCCCAATCCCTTCTGGCTTGCAAGGTTTCTACTGATTCTAATTGCCTCAGCCTTTCCTCTTTGTTCCTAACCATCTCCTGGCATCTCGAGTATGTAGATATCACTAGGTATCCTTTCTGTGTGGTTATTCTCCATGTTTTTGCTCCTCTGTATTGCTGCAGATTCTTTAATGGGCCCTTGAGCCCTCTCAGAGCTATTTTGGTTGTGGATAGCTTGCTCTCTCTCTTTCTCTCTCTCTCTCTCTCTCTATACACACACACACACACACACACACATATATATATATATATAAAAATAAATTTTTTTTTTGGTGATGGGGATGAAGGCTAGTATCTTTCTTACTCTATAATCTTGGTCGTATCTCATAAAACTTTCTTATATCTCATAATCTATGTCTTTGCAGAGCCAGCCAGCCACTTTGTCGGTCATCGGGGCAGATAATCCATGGGTGCCAAGAACAACGTGACTGAGTTGGTTTTATTTGGCCTTTTTGAGAGCAGAGAGATGCAGCATGCATGCTTTGCGGTATTCTTCCTCTTTCATGTGCTCACTGTCCTGGGGAACCTTCTGGTTATCATCACCATCAATGCTAGCAAGACTCTGAAGTCTCCCATGTATTTCTTCCTGAGCCACTTGTCTTTTGCTGACGTATGTTATCCATCTGCTACCATACCCAAGATGATTGCTGACACTTTTGTGGAGCATAAGATGCTTCACATCCTTCAATGGCTGCATGACCCAGCTCTTTTCTGCCCACTTCTTTGGTGGCACTGAGATCTTCCTCCTTACAGCCATGGCTTATGACCGCTATGTGGCCATCTGTAGGCCCCTGCACTACACAGCCATCATGGATCGCCGGAAGTGTGGCCTGCTAGCGGGGGCCTCCCGGTTAGCTGGCTTCCTGCATTCCATCCTGCAGACCCTCCTCACGGTTCAGCTGCCTTTTTGTGGGCCCAATGAGATAGACAACTTCTTCTGTGATGTTCATCCCCTGCTCAAGTTGGCCTGTGCAGACACCTACATGGTGGGTCTCATTGTGGTGGCCAACAGTGGTATGATTTCTTTAGTCTCCTTCTTTATCCTTCTCATTTCCTATGTTATCATCTTACTGAAGCTAAGAAACCAGTCATCTGAGGGCCGGTGTAAGGCTCTCTCCACGTGTGGCTCACACATAATCACTGTCCTTTTGGTTCTCATGCCCCCCCATGTTCATGTACATTCGTCCCTCCACCACCCTGGCTGCTGACAAACTTATCATCCTCTTTAACATTGTGATGCCACCTTTGCTGAACCCTTTGATCTATACGCTAAGGAACAATGAGGTGAAAAATGCCATGAGGAAGCTGTTTAGCATCAAGAAGAACTTAGGGGAGAAGTGACACTCCCAGAGAATCTCAATCCAGCCAGGAAATTGGGAGACTTTCCATCTTGTAGCATCTAACACAGCCTTTGTATTTCCAGTCTGATGTTTGCAATGGCAATTATCCTCCTAGCTCTTGTTGTTATAATAACCCCACATATTCTTTCAATCCTTTATTCATTAAATATTTATTGAATGTTTACAGTGAGTGAGAATACAAATGAAAGTAGATATAGTCTTTCCCTCAAGGAGAGTAGACTCCAGAAGGTTCTTAGTGTGATATTTAAGAGCTCATTCAAGAAACTTGTGAGGGCCTGTGAATGAGGGAGTGTCTGGGAAGTCCAGGTATCTCATTGATAAATGAATAAAATCACTACATAATTCATTTGTGTTGGCTAACACAGTGCTCAGTGAAATTCATTTTTCTTTTAAGAGTAAAGAGCCACTTTACTCTTATCCCTCCATACTCTCAGCAGGCTGATAATAAGTAAATAAATAAATAAGTAAATAAATAATGTGGAGCGGTCGAGGGATTTACTGAAACTTACACTTTAACTCCAGAGCAGGGCGAGGACTGGAACACAGGTCCCTAAGTCAGCTTTCAGGGTTTTTCCCACCTCAGGACCTCTTGATAAAGTGTGACAAAATGGACACCAAGCAGGAAAGACCAGGAACTTTTGAAGGACCAAGGAATGGTGGTGATGATGACTCGGGATGATGAAGAGAAGAGCCAGGAAGAACAAATTGTCAGCACTTCTTTCAGGGGTGCTGATTCCTCTCTCCAAACAGGGGACTGCAGCCCTCTTTAACCCCTGTTGCTTTGCTCCATTTTGCCGCTAGAGGGAGCCAAGTTTGTACAGGATGCAATTAGAAGAGCTGGATTAGGTAGCTCTTAAACATTCATGGGTCATTTAACCTCATTGGGCCTCAATTTCCATATTTACAGAAGGAGACATTGACAATATGTCTTCAGAAGGCTGTGAAGACAGCTTCAGAAGGCTGTGAGAGGACCTATAAGACTTTGTAAAGACCTACATCAAAGTCTGTTGTTCAATGGTGGCTGCTAGCTGTTTTTAAATAATATCTTCAATTCCCCTTTCTCTTCCTATTCACCGCTCTATCCCTGCCTTTCCCTCAAAGCCCTTGTAACCAAACTATCAGATTATTTCATTTACTCCAAAAGTGTTTATTGAACACTTAGCATTTCCTGGGTGATATTCCTGGGGCTAGAAATACAGCACAAAAGAAAGCATGCAAAACTCCTTGTTCTCATGGAGTTTGTATTTTAATGTGTGATAAAAGCTGACCCGTACTGAATTCTTCCAATCTGCAGACACTCTTCTAAATGTTTTAATTGTATTAACTTCTTTAATCCTTTCAACAACTTAATGAATGAGGTATAATCGCCAGGAATGTGATGAGGGTTGGGTGAGAGTGGTGATAGTAAGGAGGACTGATTAGTACCATCTGATGCTGAACTAACACAAATGCAAATGTTGATCTTGATTATGAAAAAATAATAGCAATAAAATAGCAGTTGACACCTTGAAAGCATAATATTCTCAGAATTTTTCATGCACCAGCTTAATCTGTGTTGAATAAATAATCCCCTTATAAAACTCCTTGGAGCAATGTGGGAACATGAATGGTTATTCAGGTTTAAAGATAAGCGGAGATACAGACAGGCTAAACTATGTACATAGGCCACACACAAAGACTACTGATTGCTAGTTTAATGCTCTTTCACTACTGCTTTCATACAGTATTTTAAAGTAGAGTGATAGTGGTATGTATGTCTTACACATGTATGCAGGCATGCATGTATGTATATATATTTATGTAGATGAAGACAGGTATATATGGCACAATCTCAGCTCACTGCAACCTCCACCTCCCAGGCTCAAGTAATTCTCATGCCTCAGCCTCCCTAGTAGCTGGGACTACAGGCACGTGCCACCAACGTCCTGCTAATTTTTGTAGTTTTAGTAGAGACGGGGTTTCACCATGTTGGCCAGGCTGGTCCTGAACTCCTGACCTCAAGTGATCTGCCTGCCTCAGCCTCCCAAAATGCTGGTATTGCAGGGGTGAGTCACCATGCCTTGCCTCTACTCTTTTCTTTGAGGAAATTGAAGCACTTACATCATGGATTTGTCAGATCAGAGGTGACCGGAAAGCAATTCCTCAGGAATCCCACTCTTTGCCTAGACTTCTGTTTATAGAAGATTGACCAACTCAGGAGCCATTTGAGGGTGTGGAATCATAGGTATGCTTGATATGGCAGATGTTTCTTCCTGCTTCATGCTGGGGAGGGAAAAGGGAGAAATTGGGTTGGAGGAAGTAGATCATGTATTTCAGGGGAAAAAGTCATCTGAGTTTCAGCTACAAGTGAGAAGACTGGGTAAATACTATAGGAGGAGCTGCCTAAGGTATGAGAACTTGGCATTAAGAGAAGAGGCTGCTGTATGATACTGTGGAAATTACACTAGATGGAAAGTCAGGAAACAGGGTTCCAGTTGCAGGGCCATCCCCACCTCCATCCAAGTTCTCAGGGCTTCCATTTCCTGATGCATACAATTAAGGAGATTGTTTCGAATCTCTAAGGACCTTCAGCTCAGATATCCTATGATTCTATTTTGTTCAGGAATATAGATTACGTGAAATCTGGGTCAATCTTATTTTTTCCTCATTTTATTCACATATTTCCTTAGAATTATTTTTAGGTGATTTTATAAAAAGAAAATATTGCAAATAGTTCCCATAGATTTATGGACTTGACACAATTATCACAAGAGGGAAAAACATCAAATTAAGAAGATTTTATTGTGTTTTTCACTACTTTTCCTCTCTAAGAGACAACTCCATTTTAATGTTCCTACTACAGGTATTCTGAAAGTTACCAGTAGATGAAGCTCATTGACTGTTCATTCAGCCACTCTGTCAGTACATTTTACCCTTCAGTACTGAGTTTTCCTGGAGGACTTTTTAGTTATAAACACAAACAAGATGTAATTGTTATTATAAATTTTACTTATTCTGCTGTGGTTGGAGAGAGAGCAGAGAAAGGATGTGGTGGTAGGTATGGTATTGGGGAAGGGACTCTGAACTCCTCCTCCTTGGAAGGTGAAAGTGTCCACAGTGAAGGCAGAAAAGGAAGGTAGGCTAGAGGTGAGAGGGTACCCCATGGCTGATTTCTTTCATAAAAGATTTAAAAATATTATTAGTTAAAAATATTTGATACAAATAATATGTGTATTATTTAATATATGTAATATGTAATAAATAATAAAATTATATATTAATATGTTATAAAACATAATTATTCATAATTAATGATCATCTATGAACTTATCAATTTAAGAACATTCCTAATAACTTGTGTCATATGTGTCTTCTCTATTTTATTTCTTTGCCTTAACCAATATTCTCGTTTGGTTTACGACTTCCTTACTTTATGAAAATAGCTTTAACATATGTGTATATATACCTAACCCATATATTGCTTAATTTTTCTTATTTCTAATTTTATAAAAATGGTGTTATACATTTGTAGTCTTCTGATTTGCTATCTTTACTTAACATAATATTTCAAAAATATTTCAAAAACATAATATTTCATCCTTGTTGTTGCATGTAATTGTATTTCATCATTTTTACTATTGCACAAGATTTCATTGGGTGAATATGCCATAATTATTTTACTACTCTTTTTTAAATATACCTTGGCTGTTTCCATATTCAGCTGTATGAGGGCTGTTATGAGCATTCTTGTCTGTGTGGAAAAGTTTGCCTGGGGCATATACCCAGGGACTGAATTGCTATGTTGAAAGGTATGCAAATGTTTCGACTTTTCCAAAAATATGCCAAATTGCTTTTGAAAGCAGTTGTACCAATATTCACTCCCTACAGCAATGTATAGGAGATTCTGATGAGGTACATTCTTGTTCAACACATGGCACAGCCAAAACTTCGTAACATTTTTGCCAATCTTGATGGTACCCACTTCACTGTTGTTGCCTTGTTCTTTGTACCTTGTATATTTACTTATATGCATCTATTTTCTACTTTATCTATAGACAAAAGCATGGCATTATTTTACGGTATTCTGACACCTATGTTGAATCCACTCATCTATACCCTGAGAAATGAAGAGGTAAAAAATGCCATGAGAAAGCTCTTTACATGGTAAGAAATTGCAGGTGAATAATGAGTGGTAAAGCAGGAATAAAAATAACTTTATTTTTGTAAGTGAAACAAACCAAGCCTTACTTTTTTCTATCATGTATAATTGTATTCCATCTTAAGCATTAGTTCATCTTCACTGACTTTTTTTTTTGGTACGGAGTCTCAAAAAAAAAAATCACGCCAGGCTGGAGTGCAGTGGCACGATCTCAGCTCACTGCAACCTCCACCTCCTGGCTTCAAGTGATTCTTGTGCTACAGCCTCCTGTGTAGCTGAGATTACAGGCACCTGTCACCATGTCCAGCTCATTTTTGTATTTTTAGTAGAGATGGAGTTTTTCCATGTTGGCCAGGCTGGTCTTGAACTCCTGGCTTCAGGTGCCCACCTCGGCCTTTCAAAGTGCTGGGATTACAGGCATGAGCCACCATGCCCAGCCTTCATTGACTTTTATTGTTTATTTAGTATTTTCACTTGAATTGTGTAATTTGATTATAAAACTACTATATGAAATATACATGGTATGAATGATTATTATTCCTATTTTAGAAATGAGGAAACTCTGTTTACTGATGTGGTTAGTCAATTAATCAAGATTATCTAGTTTTGAATTGCCTAAACCAAAGTTTCAAATGAGTTATTTTTGATCCATCATCCAGATCTTTAAGTAGCAATCCATGTTGACATCATTTGAGTCTGTGTGATAATTAATTGAGTTGTAGAAACACGAGACAAAATGTTACTTAACACTTAGCCATATATAGCAGGCTCTTCCGTATCCAGGCCTGGCTTCTATTTCTTTTCGTTACTCTGTGTGACATCAGCAATCTCGCTGATACACTATAGCAGAGAGGTTAGGAGTTGGCTCTGGAGACAGAATAATCTGAGTTTGAATCTTATTTTCTTTAGTTAATTTTTAAAAAGTTTCCAGGGTACATGTGCAGGATGTGCAGGTTTGTTACATAGGTAAACGTGTGCCATGGTGGTTTTGCTGCACCTATCAACCCATCACCTAGGTATTAAGCCCAGTATGCATTAGCTCTTTTCTCTAATGCTCTCCCTCCCCACCCTCCCCAACAGGCCCCAGTGAGTGTTGTTCCCCTCCCTGTGTCCACGTGTTCTCATTGTTCAGCTCCCACTTATAAGTGAGAACGTGCGGTGTTTGGTTTTCTGTTCCTGAGTTAGTTTGCTGAAGATAATGGCTTCCAGCTCCATCCACGTTCTGCAAAGGACATGATCTCGTTCCTTTTATGGCTGCATAGTATTGAATCTTATTTTCTATGCTTGCTAGTGGTATGACCTTGAGTAAAGTGATGAGATTTCTAGAAACCTCTGATGCCTGTCTATAAAATAAAAGTAAAGATATTTTAGATTCCACGTATAATTGAGGTCATGCAGTATTTGTCTATCTGTGTCTGACTTATTTCACTTAGCATAATGTCTTCCAGGTCCATATACCTCGCCGCAAATGACAGAATTTCTTCTTTTTCAAGGCATCACCTAATACCTCAATAAAGCTGGGGAAATAAAAAGTAATGATAATACACGTCTCAAAGTGTTATTGTAACAATTAGATTAGATAATCTCTCTAAAGTTCTTAATGTAGTTTCTGGCACGTGGTGAACTCCTAACATGCTTATTTGAAATCACCATGTCCACCTCAACCCTTTCCTAACCTTCTATAAAGAAATTGCTTTCTTTTGTTTTTCTATCTCTTTTAGGCTTGAAATACATGCTGCCTTTAGAGTAATTTTTGTTGTTGTTGAGTAATACAACATGGCATTTCTTTTTATTTTACCTAAGCCTTCTCATTTCAAATTCTGGGAATCTAAAATGTAGGTCCACTTTCATTCCATCTTTTCCCTGGTTTTACAAACTCCACCATATCCCTTCCAAAGCTTCACCTTTTAAGATTGTAGGCTCCCATAATTATATTAAACTTACCCTCTGTGGACAAATGGTCTGTAATCCTCATGTTACAACATATTCACTTTTTTACACTAAGAAAAAACAACCTGGAAATTTATATGAAAAGAAATTTCTCTGTTATAGGAAGAAATTTCAAAATTAATCTGCGAGACGCCATCATCCTAAGTAAACTAGCGCAGGAACAGAAAACCAAAACCACACTTTCTCACTTATAAATGGGAGCTAAACACTGGACTACACAGGGCCACAACGGGGGAACTACAGACACCAAGAACTACTAGAGGGTAGAGGGCGGAAGGAGGGTGAGGATTGAAAAGCCACCTATTAGGTACTATGCCATGCTTATTACCTGGGTGATGAAATAATCTGTACACCAAACCCCCACAATACCTATTTAACAAACCTGCACATGTACCCCTGAATCTAAACTAAAAGTTAAAAAAAGTCGCAAAAAGCACAAAATTCATCTCCAAGAAATTAGTTTCCACAACATTTGGGAGATTATCAGGAAATATTTCTTGTTTCATCCCCATAACTCTGTGTCTAATAAAAAATGATAATTGCACAATTTTTGGCAAAAGAAATGTTGCCTTCTTCACTTGTCACATTTAGGGAAGCTAATTAATAATAGTTAGCTATCACTGAGACCTTGAATTCTGCACCCATTCATTTCTGCTATTAGATGATAAAAGTATTATTTAATTAACTAAGAAATATGAAATCACCATGAGGATCGCTAAAAAATAGCGTGTCTTTTGGCCAGCTTGCTACTATTTTATCTCAAAAGACTTTTTGAAAGCACACTTTTTTAGTTATAATTTAAAGTACCCTGATTTTCGGTACAGTTAAAATATCAAATAGCAAAAAGACTAATACTAGTGCACCCCTATTTTTATTGTCCAAATTATGATGAACGACATCCCCGTTAACTTATAAATATTGCTTACTTTTGAAAAGTTTCAACTTGCTAGGTTAAACACATGGGTAAATATTCTGAGTAGTTTTCTAGTAATTAAAAATTATTACTAATCTTGTTTACCAAGATAGTTGTATCTTCATTTTAGAGACCATGTAAAATGTCTTTCCTTCATAATCCATATTTGTTTTAGCAAATTTAGAAAATAAGAAAAATAAAGATGGTCAACATACATCTTCCAACACACTTGTAGAAATCGACTTTTTAGCCCATTACCTAGAGATAATCACTATCAGCATTTCGGTAGATATTCTTCTAGTCCTCATCACCTTTTCTTCTCTTTCCTCCCCTTCTTTCTCCTCCTCCTCCCTTTCTTCTCTATTTCCCCCTCCCTCTCTTTATATACGCTATATCATATGATAGGTATGTGACATAAATATATGTGATATGTAATATATGGGATATATTTTATTTCCATACTGATTTGTTTAATCTGATTTCATATTTCAATATATGCCTGATATATATCTGCATAATGTAAATTTTTTTCTGTGACTCAGTATGGATGACTGTTTAGTATTTATTATATAACCTTACTAAATGTATTTAACTGAACCCCTATGAATGAATTTAGATTGGTTCTAGTTTTGGCTATTATAAAGAGTACTGCAGCAAATACTCTTTCAGCCAAATATTTTACACATCTAAGACTGCATCTTTAGGGGGAAAAAAACAAACCTAGGAGAGTCGAGTAGAGTCGAGTCAGAGTTAGGAACAAAAGTAGAAAAAGAACATTCCCGTTCTAAGAAGGAATAAGCTCATTCATAAGTTACAGGCATGAGAAGACACAGTAGGGTGGTCATCATTTAAGGGATATTTCAGAATCAAGAGTAGAATCTTGGCATGTAAATGGATGACTTCACAATGTGATGACTTCACAACGCATTGTAACTACTGTTACAATGCAACAGTAGTGTGTGAGCCAGGTTACAGTCGGGAGAGGAGTGAAGGGTTTTCAACACTGAGTGGATCAAGGAGTATTACATGCAAGAGGCTATATTTCACTGAATGTTGAAGTATGAGTAAAAGGAGTCGGATGAATCAACTAAAAATGTGAGGAATGAAAAGGGAAATTTACAGTCACAGAATCAGTACGTGCTTTCAGGACACAGTGTATTTGGCCTCAATCCTGTAAGAAAATGTGAAGCCACTTGAAGATTTTAACATAAAATTAGTTCCTACTTTACATGACTATGAAAATAAATTTCAGATGAAAAAAATCCTAAACTCAAACATTTCTTTTTAAAATTAATAGAAGATATTGTTTGAGCATATATTTATGATCTAGGCCAGAGAAAGCTTTCTGAAATGAGAGAGAAAATTCATATCATAAATGTGGCAGTGTAATAAATAAATTGCTTTTGAATGATAAGAAGACACCATAAACAGAGTCAGAAGACCAGACCACTGCCTGGGAGAAGGTATTGGCAACATGTGTAATAGCCAAAGAATCAGAATATAAAAAGCACTGCTACAGTATAAGAAGAAAAAGCTAAACAATCAATATATAAATAGGTAAAATGTGTAAACAAAAAATTTACTGTTTATACAAACATTTAAAATACTTTGGTGGCCATCAGGGAAATGCCAATTATAGTAACAATAAGAATCCATTTTCACATATTTCACATATTGGCAAAGACTAAAGCACTTGACAATATCAAGTGTGGCCAGAGATGGGAAGTGGCGGCTCTGTCGTACACTGCTGGTGGCACAGTCAGCATGGACAGCTCTTTGGTGGTGTTTGTTAAAGTAAGTACTAACCATTTGATTCACTCACAGTTATCTATTTAGAGAACAACTAATTTAGATATTCTTAATACCTAAGAATTTCATTACATGGAAACATGTACAAGGATTTTCACCACAGAATTGTTTGTAATAAAACACAGAAGTAATCAACCAGGGGATTGCGTTGGCAACCATGGGCGTATGGTGGATTACTGTACAGCAGTTACAAGAAATGAATTGTATTTTTATTTGTTAATACAGATCAATCTGAAAAACAATGTGAGTGCAAAGTAAGTTGAAAATGATGCATCTAGTATAACATTGATAGAAAATAAACCACTAAATGTCAATAATATTTTCTCTGTGTGTGCGTGTGTTAGTACGTATTTGTGTGTGTGAAGGCAGAGAATAGTATTTTTTTGGTCATGAGAAGTAGGAGAGCAGAGGAGTCTTTTTACTTCTACTTTTTATATCTTAATTTAACAAGCACAAGCTTCAGCACATGACTTTGTGTAATTAAAAATGGAAAGAAACCCCATAAAACAGATATGTTAGACTTTAAAATAGTAAGCTTATTGATTATAAGAAAATGGCACTTGTTTTTTTCTCTCCTTTGTATTTTTATGTGTTTTTTAAACCTAAACATCAGACAATTTAGATTTTTCTTTAGATGAAGTCAAATAAAGATATTGTGCTGGTGCCCCTCTCCTGATCCCATGAATTCCCTGTGCCTTTACTTACACCGACAATTATTCTCACTTATCTTCCTATTCAAGGCCAGTCTTTTCACTGATCCCCACGGCCCCTCCCATCACATTACCTCCAAGACCTCTTCACTTCTCAATTATTGCTGTTTTGTCATAACTTCAAACTTAATCTACACTCTTGGTTAAGCCTCTGCCAACCTAAAAGGTGGAAACTACACTCTAGGGTTAAATTATTTATTTGTTCAGCTTACAAGTCATCATAGGCAAATAAACTTATCTGATGCTTCGTTTCCTCAACTATAAATGGACATTTATTCCTTAGGTCATGCCCTTGTAAGAGGAAAGTGTGTATGAAGATGAGTGTTGGGCAGGTGATAGGAGCCTGATAAATAAGTTTCCTTCCTTGCTCTGAGAAAAGGGTAACAGAAGAATAAAGGTTAGAAATAATGTAATCCTCTGAATTTTAAGTAGTGTGGAAAATATACTGGGTTAAGTAAAAAAGAGAAGACCGGTGTTTGAGATTTTTTATTTTGGCAGCTGATTGTTACGTGGCCACTGGCAAGCAACTTTAAAAATCATTTTTTTTTCACTTCTCTTGAACCCCTCTCCCTCAAGTGGAATTTTGTTGAATGAACAACATCAAAATGAATGCATAGTCATATAAAAACATTTGCTACTTTTTTCTTTTGTGATTTATCAGAGGAAAGTAGCACTGTATAAGTTATGGGCTGTTCCTTCACGTACAAAGTGGTGCAGGTGAGAAAAAGAGAGTTAATTTCAAAGAAGTTCCCTGATATGTGTTAATCAAAACATTTTGGAGTTATGAATTACTGACAAGTCACTAGCTGGTGCTTTGCAGACACAACATTTTCAAGCCCTGATCTGTCTTTGAAAACTAGTTCAACCTGCAAAATTAGTTCAAAAAGTGATATATGCAATAACATTTATTAAAAAATAAAGAAGGCCAAAAGAGTTTCAAGAAGACAATTTCAATGTAAATATAAGACATTTAAGACAACTAACTTGTTTGTTTATATTAAGTGGAAGCAGAATAGAATTTGGCAAAGCATGAGGGGTTTGGGGTTGGACAGGCTTAGACCAGAATTCTCTCGTTAACCCAAATTTTAGCTACTTAACCTTGAACACTATAATTAACCTTTCTGTCTCTTGGTTTCTTAATTTATGAATGGGAATATCAAGGTTATCATGTTCATTGAGCGGCAGTGAGAATTATTAACAAATTAACAGAAAGAATATCAATAGTACTTTGCACATAATAAACACTCAAGTAAATTAAAAATAGCCATCATAATTATAAATACAATATCATTGTTTTGTTGGGTACTGACAGTTTACTGTGAGTAGGGTCACAATTATGTTCAAATAATGAAATAGTTTAGACAGAGGTTAAATTCCGTGCTTTGAGGCTTAAACAGGTAAGCACAGAAAATAACTTAAGGTCACAAATCGCTGCCTTCATGGTGTAGGTCGAAGGACACAAAATTTCAGTTAGATGGGAGGAATAAGTTTCAAGACATCTATTGTACAGCATGGTGAACTATAGTAGATAACGATATCCTGTATTTCTTAAAAAAATGCTAAGAGGGTAATTTTAAGTGTTTTCACCACAAAAAGGATAACTATGTGAGGTAATGCATATGTTAATTCGCTTGATTTAACCATTCTGATGCAGGCAAACCCCAAAATTGGGGCTTTGGACCCATGCTGTGCGTCATGGCTGGGGTTGTGACTGGTGCTTGGAACACAAGCCCTGCTGATCGACCTCATTTTCCCCTCAGAGATTATGCACTCTTCCCTTAATTTTAAAGAGTTGCAGGAGGTGGGAAGGCCTTGAGCTTGCAGTTCAACTAACTCTGAATTGTTACCATAAGAAAACAGGTGTGGTTTATTACTGCACATACTTTCCTTGTCATGCTACTTATCTGTTGGTGATTGTGAAACAACAGCTTTAAATCTTCTCGGGGTTCACAAGTGTAGGTGGTGTTCTCTTCCTCACACCTGCAGGGACTCATGAGAAAATACGTTTAATCCTACACAGGTGTACCCAACTAGTGACTCCCTGAAGTTTCACAGCAGCCACGGGGGTATTTAACAACACCTGATAGGGGCTTTTTATTTTGGTCGTAATAGATCCTTGGGGAAGCCTCCCTTCTTTCCAGGTTTTACAGTAAGACTAGAGTCCCGGATTCAAGAGGGGACTTATTCTTTTCCTTTGTGGGAAAGGGAAATGCTTTATTTCCATATTCCTTGAAAGGCCTTTCGAAACTGACCTAGATGATCATAATGAATGAGCGTTCTAGGTGTCTCCTCATCAAAACAGGAAATCTGAAGTTAGAAAGGGCCTTCCATAGGTTATTTCAAATGGACTAAGTTTTAGGGTTCCTCTTGGAGCCCTCCTTATGCACAAGAGGGCTATGGATTGGAGAAAAACTCAGGCCTCCCAGGTGTCCCAACAGAGTTTCGCTAATGTCCTTTTAAAAGCAGGGTTGGCTCTTTCTACCTTACAGAGGATTGAAACCTCCAGGAGGAACGACGACGACAGTAATGCCCAATGCCCAAGATGGAGGAAACCTGCGGGGTCACCTTCCCTATGAAGGAGGGCTCCATTAGCACTTTGCAAGCTTTTTGGTAATTCAAACCTTGGGATGAAATTCTTTAAGTAAGAATTTGGACCCTTCCAATACTTTTTCTGTCCTTGCGGGAAAAGTTATTATCCACTGGTCGAAAATGGCTGTAAGTACTTAGGCGAATATTGTAGTACTCTGTAAGGCAGTCTGAGTGAAGTCTATTTGCCCAGTCTCCCCAGGGTTCCTTGATGTTATAAAGGTTTGAGTAGCTGGCTTCCTGGGTTATTATGTGGCACAGAGTTCACAGGTCCTGGTGACCCCCTTTTTCAGTCTGGAATAGTCCCTTTCTCAAGAATAGTTTTGGGGAAACCGATTTGAAGAGAGAATTCCATCCCAAATGTGAGGAGTTAGGGAAATGCTTAATTATTTTCCATTGCTCAGCCTTGGGGAGAAAGTTTACTGCTTTCTAGCAACTACCATTGAGGGACTCTTTTTGTAAGCCCCTTTCTTTCATGTTCGTTTTCATTTCCTCAGGTGCATAGTATGATTCTGCTGACATGGGTGGAGTATAGGCCATTAGTGCAGTGGGCCAGTGGCACTGATCTTCTTGTAGCAGTGGCCTTGCCTGCTCTGTCTGCCAGAGCATTTCCTCTAATAATGACATGTCTCCCTTTTTGTGTCCCCTGCAATGAATAGCTGCTATT